GGAATTTGGGATTGGGGAATTTGGGATTTGGGAATTTGGGATTGGGGAATTTGGGATTTGGGAACTTGGGAGAGGCGGCTGCAAAGCCTGGAGGTGATGAGGGAAGGGAGCTGGGAATTCTCCCACGTCCGTGGGGACAGGGAGGTGGGAATTCTGCTTCCAAAGGGACTGGGAGCTGGGAATTCTCCCAATCCACAGGGACAGGGAGCTGGGAATTCTCCCAATCCAGAGGAACAGGGAGCTGGGAATTCTCCCAATCCACAGGGACAGGGAGCTGGGAATTCTCCCAGACAGGGACAGGGAGCTGGGAATTCTCCCAATCCACAGGGACAGGGAGCTGGGAATTCCCCCAATCCAGAAAAACAGGGAGCTGGGAATTCTCCTGCTTCCAAAGGGACAGGGAGCTGGGAATTCTCCCAATCCACAGGGACAGGGAGCTGGGAATTCTCCCAATCCCCAGGCCCCAGCCCGTCCCTCCCGGGCTCTGGAATCCCAAACTCTCCGCAGGAATTCCCGGTGGATCCCAGGATCCAACAGCTGCTGCCCTGGGGACATTCCCAGGACATTCCCGGGCCATTCCAGGCCCATTCCGGGGCCATTCCCGGCCGGAATTTGCCGGCTCAGCCCCTCTCCTCAGCCCAAAGGGGGGGGGGGTTTTCCGCTCTGCCTCGGGAATTCCAGCCGGGAATTCCAGCGGCTCTTTAAGGGGCTATCCGGGTTTCCGGGGCCACATCCCGGGTTTTAGGGGTCATATCCCAGTTTTTAGGGATCTATCCCAGTTTTTAGGGGTCTCTCCCAGTTTTTAGGGCTCTATCCCACTTTTTAGGGCTCTATCCCACTTTTTAGGGGTCTATCCCAGTTTTTAGGAGTCTCTCCCAATTTTTACGGGTCTCTCCCAGTTTTTAGGGATCTATCCCAGTTTTTAGGGGTCTATTCCAGTTTTCAGGGGTCTATCCCAGTTTTTAGGGCTTTCTCCCAGTTTTCACGGGTCTATCCCAGTTTTTAGGGGTCTATCCCAGTTTTTAAAGCTCTATCCCACTTTTTAGGGGTCTAACCCCCATTTTTGGAGCCCAAACCCCCATTTTTGGTGCCATATCCCCATTTTTAGGAGCCATACCCCCATTTTTAGAGCCCACACCCCCATTTTCAGGGAGGGCGCAAATGCCCCAATTTTCTAGAGCCCATTCACAACGCATTTTTCGGAGCCCACCCCCATATTTCCGTGCCCCACCCCATTTCCCAGTGCCCCTCTCCCCTGTTCCCACCTCCCCCAATCCCATTTTTCCGCCCCCCAGGTCCCATCAGGAACCTCCCCCGCCCATCACTTTTTTGACCATCCGGGTGGTCTCGGGGGGGTCCAGCCGGGCCCGCTTGGCCTCGGGTCCATCCTCCACCCCCGGGCTGCCTTTGGCCACCTTGGGCTTCTCCCTGGGGACAGCAGGGCCCGAAATGGGGGACTGTGGCCCCAGATCCCGGGATTTGGGGCCGGTTTTACCCCCCAGACTCACTCCACGAACTCGTGGTGGCCCAGGTCGGCGAACATGAAGCCGTGGTAGCCGAAAACGTCCCCGGTGAAGAACTTGACCCCGCTCTGGTGGCAGATCTGGTTGATCCTGACCATGGACTCCCGGGAGCAGCACGTCAGGCACACCTGGGAGCGGGAATTGCGGGGGTCAGGCACGCAGAGCCCCCAAAATCTCACTGGGGGCCAACGGTCCTGCCCCAAAATGGGAAAATCCAGCACCAAAATGGGACAGTCCTGCCCCAAAATGGGGCAATCTCACCACAAAATGGGACAATCCAGCCCCAAAATGGGACAGTCTTGCCCCAAAATGGGGCAATCTCACCACAAAATGGGACAATCCAGCCCCAAAATGGGACAGTCCTGCCCCAAAATGGGGCAATCTCACCACAAAATGGGACAATCCTGCCCCAAATGAGCCAATCCAGCCCCAAACTGGGACAATCTCACCACAAAATGGGACAATCCTGCCCCAAAATGGGATAGTCCAGCCCCAAAATGGGACAATCCAGCCCCAAAATGGGACAATCCTGCACCAAAATGGGGCAATCCAGTCCCAAAGTGGGACAATTCAGCCCCAAAATGGGACAATCCAGCCCCAAAATGGGACAATCCAGCCCCAAAATGGGACAATCCAGCCCCAAAATGGGACAATCTCACCACAAAATGGGAAAATCCTGCCCCAAATGGGACAATCTCACCACAAAATGGGACAATCCAGTCCCAAAATGGGAAAATCCTGCCCCAAAATGGGAAAAGTTCACCCCAAACTGGGCCAATCCTGCCCCAAACTGTTCCAGCCCCCCCCAAACTGTTCCAGTCCCCCCCCAAACTGCTACCAACCCCTCCCCAAACTGCTTCCAGCCCCCCAGACTGGTCAGTCCCCCCCCACGGTCCCCCCGGGCTGTTACCAATGTCTCCCTCCCCCAAACTGCTCCTGTCCCCCCCCAAACTGTTCCAGCCCCCCCAGAACTGTTCCAGCCCCGCCCCAAAACTGTTACAGCTCCCCCCAACTGTTCCTGTCCCCCCCAACTGGTCCGAACCCCCCCACCCCAAACTGTTCCAAAGCCCCCCAAACTGTTCCAGTCCCCCCAAACTGTTCAGTCCCCCCAAACTGCTCCTTGTCCCCCCCCAAATTGGTCCCAGCCCCCCCCAGACTGGTTTCCAGTCCCCCCCCCCGGTCCCCCGGGATGTACCATGTCCCTCCCTCACCCCCAAACTGTTCCTGTCCCCCCCCAAACTGCTCCAGCCCCCCAAACTGCTCAACCCCCCAACTGTTCCAGCCCCCCCCAAACTGTCTCCAACCCCCCCCCAAACTTGGTGCCCCCCCGGGGCCGTACCGCCGTCGAATTGGTGAAGACAGTCGTGTGCGTTTGCAGTCGACGCTTCTCGGGTCTGCCTCACCTTCCACCAATGGGGTTCAGGTCTGCGGCGGCCAGCGACGGCCTCGGCCACGGTTTGCGGGCCCAGCAGAGCGCGCCGGGGGGATCAGGAACTGGGAGCAGGGGTCGTCCTGGGACACCTGGAATGGGACACAGGGATGGGAATTCCAGAGCTGGGACCAGGAACTGGGAACCACAGTCATCCTGGGACACCTGGGGTGGGAATGGGATCAGGAACTGGGAACCACAGTCATCCGGGGACACCTGGAATGGGAATGGGATCAGGAACTGGGAACCACAGTCATCCGGGGACACCTGGGATGGGAATGGGATCAGCAACTGGGAACAGGAACTGGCAACAGGGGTCATCTTGGGATACCTGGAATGGGAATGGGATCAGGAACTGGGAGCAGGGGTCGTCCTGGGACACCTGGAATGGGACACAGGGATGGGAATTCCAGAGCTGGGACCAGGAACTGGGAACCACAGTCATCCTGGGACACCTGGGGTGGGAATGGGATCAGGAACTGGGAACCACAGTCATCCGGGGACACCTGGAATGGGAATGGGATCAGGAACTGGGAACCACAGTCATCCTGGGATACCTGGGATGGGACACAGGGATGGGAATTCCAGAGTTGGGACCAGGAACTGGGAACAGGGGTCGTCCTGGGACACCTGGGGTGGGAATGGGAATGGGATCAGCAACTGGGACCAGGAACTGGGAACCACAGTCATCCGGGGACACCTGGAGTGGGAATGGGATCAGGAACTGGGAACCACAGTCCTGGGACACCTGGAATGGGAATGGGATCAGGAACTGGGCATGGATGGCATCCTGGGACACCTGGAATGGGAATGGGATCAGGAACTGGGAACCACGGTCCTCTTGGGACAGCTGGAATGGGAATGGGATCAGGAACTGGGAACCACAGTCATCCTGGGAAACCTGGAATGGGAATGGGATCAGGAACTGGGAACCACAGTCCTGGAAAACCTGGAATGGGAGGGGATGGGACACAGGAATGAGAATTCCAGAATGGGATCAGGAACTGGGTATGGATGTCCTCCTGTGCCCCCCAGGTGTGTCTGTGCCCCCCAGGTGCCCCCCAGGTGTGCCCCCCGCTCACCTGGCGATGGTCGAGCAGGGTGACCCCCCTGACCCCGGCCAGGATGAGGTTTTTGGCCACCTCTGCCCCCAGGCCCCGCAGCCCCACCAGCAGCACCCGCGACGCCCGTAACCTGCGGGGGATCCGGGAACAGGTGGGAAAGGTGGGAAAGCACCTCGGGAATGACACACCCCCCAGGAGGGCTCCTACAGAGACCCTCCAGACCCCTATAGGGTCCCCCCCAGCTCCTGTGGATCCTCCCCAAATCCCTATAGGGCTCCCCCCTCTCCTATGGGCACACCCCAAATCCCTATAGGGTCCCCCCAGCTCCTACAGGATGCCCCAGGACCCTACAGGAACCCTCCAGACCCCTATAGGGCCCCCCCAAGCTCCTATAGATCCTCCCCAAATCCCTATAGGGTCCCCTCTGCTGCTATGAGGACTCTCCAGAGCCCTATAGGGACCCCCCAAGTTCCTATAGGATGCCCCAGGACCCTACAGGAACCCTCCAGACCCCTATAGGGAGCCCCCCAA